AGGAAGCAAATAACCTGTATAAGAAATGATATGGGTAAATCACAACAGACCCAACTGAAATTAAAAGAATCATTAACAGAATACTATGAAAAACTGTACTCGAACAAATTTGAAAACCTAGAGGAAACGGACAAATTTCTAGAAGTTCACTACCTACCTAAACTAACACAAACAGAGGTAGAACAACTAAATGAAACTGTAACAAAAGAAGAGATTGAAGAGGTAATTAAAAAACTCCCAACAGAAAAAAGCTCTGGCCTGGGCAGTTTCACTGGAGAGTTCTTCCAAACTTTCAGAGAAAAGTTAATATCACTACTGCTAAAGGTATTTCAGAGCATAGAAATTGATGGAATACTCTCAAACTCATTCTATGAAGCTAGCATAACCCTGATACCAAAACCAGGTAAAGACACCTCAAAGAAAGAAAATTACAGACTAATATCCCTCATGAACATAGACACAAAAATCCTCAACAAAATACTAGCCAACAGAATTCAGCAGCATATCAAAAAAAAATTCACAATGATCAAGTGGGATTTATACCAGGTATGCAGGGATGGTTCAACATTAGAAAAAAAATCAATGTCAACGATCACATAAATAAAACAAAAGACAAGAACCACATGATCTTATCAATTGATGCAGAAAAGGCATTTGACAAAGTCCAACAGCCATTCATGATAAAAACTCTCAGCAAAATAGGAATAGAAGGGAAATACCTCAACATAATAAAGGCATTTATACAAGGCCAACAGCCAACATCATCCTAAATGGAGAGAATTTGAAAGCATTCCCCTTGAGAATGGGAATCAGAATAAGGATGCCATTTATCACCACTCTTATTCACAATTGTGCTGGAGGTCCTAGCCAGAGCAATTAGGCTAGAAAAAGGAATAAAGAGCATCCAGACCGGTAAGGAAGAATTCAAAGTATCTCTATTTGCAGATGATATGATCTTATACGCAGAAAACCCCAAAGAATCCACAAGAAAGCTACTGGAACTAACAGAAGATTACAGCAAAGTTTCAGGATACAAGATAAACATACAAAAATCAGTTGGATTCCTCTACACCAAGAAAGAGAACTTCCAAGAGGAAATCACCAAATCAATACCATTTACAATAGCCCCCAAGAAAATAAAATACTTGGGAATAAATCTAACCAGAGATGTAACAGACCTATACAATGAAAACCAAAAGACACTACTGCAAGAAACCAAGAGAGACCTGCATAAGTGGAAAAACATACCTTGCTCATGGATAGGAAAACTCAAGATTGTGAAAATGTCTATTCTACCTAAAGGGATCTACAAATACAATGCAAACCCCATCCAAATTCCAACAGCATTTTTTAATGAGATGGAGAAAGAAATCACCAACTTCCTAAGAAAAGGGAAGAGGAGCTGGATAAGCAAAGCATTACTCAAGAACAAATTAGGAGGCCTCACACTACCTGATTTTAGAACCTTTTATACCGCCATGGTAGTCAAGACAGCCTGGTACTTGTACATCAACAGATACACAGACCAGTGGAAAAGAACTGAAAATCCAGATGTAAATTCATCCACCTATGAGCAGCTGATATTTTACAAAGGCCCAAAGTCCATTAATTGGGGAAAAAACACTGTCTTTAACAAATGGTGCTGGCATAACTGGATACCCATCTACAAAAAAATGAAACAAGACCCATCCCTCACACTATGCACAAAAACTAACTCAAAATCGATCAAAGACCTAAATATAAAATCGAAAACAACAAAGATCATGGAAGAAAAAATAGGGACAAAACTAGGAGTCCTACTACATGGCATAAACAGAATACAAACCATAAGTAACAATGTACAAACACCAGAAGAGAAACTAGATAACTTTGAGCTCCTAAAAATCAAACACTTATGCTCATCAAAAGACTTCACCAAAAGAGTCAAAAGACAACCTACAGATTGGGAAAAAAATTTTGGCTACCACATATCCAATCAGCATCTAATCTCTAACATCTACAAGATACTGCAAAGCCTCAACAACAAAAAGACACACAAACCAATTAAAAAATGGGCAAAAGATATGAACAGGCACTTTGCCAAAGAAGACATTCAGGTGGCCAACAGACACATGAGGAAATGCTCACAATCATTAGCCATTACGGAAATGCAAATAAAAACTACAACGAGATACCATCTCACCCCACAAGACTAGCATTAATCCAAAAACCACAAAGCAATAAATGTTGGAGAGGTTGTGGAGAGACTGGAACACTTATACACTGTGGGAATGTAAAATGGTACGACTACTTAGGAAATCGATTTGGCGTTTCCTTAAAAAGCTAGAAATAGAAGTACCATAGGATCCAGCTATCCCACTCCTTGGAATATATCCTAGAGAATTAAGAGCCGTCACACGAATAGATATACGCACACCCATGTTCATTGCAGCACTGTTCATGATAGCAAAAAGATGGAAACAACCCAGGTGCCCATCAACAGACAAATGAATAAAGAAATTATGGTATATTCACACAGTGGAATACTACGCAACGATAAAGAACAACGATGAATCCATGAAACATAACATGGAGTAATCTGGAAGGTATTATGCTGAGTGAAGTTAGTCAGCTGCATAAGGACAAATATAGTATAAGACCACTATTATAAGAACTCAAGAAAAGGTTTAAACATAGAAGACAACATTTTTTGATGGTTACGAAGGTAGGGAGGGAGAGGGGTATTCACTAACTAGAGAGTAGACAAGAATTATCTTAGGTGAAGGGAAGGACAGCACACACTACAGGGGAAGTCAGCATGACTGGACTAAACCAAAGTTAAGAAGTTTCCTGAATACAACCAAACACTTCCAGGGACACAGTAGCATGGGCAGAGGTCTGGGGACCATAGTTTCAGGGGACATCTAGATCAATTGGCATAACGAAGTTTTTTAAGAAAATTGTTCTGCATTCCACTTTGGTGAGTAGCATCTGGGATCTTAAAAGCTAGTGTGTGGCCATCTAAGATGCATCAATTGGTTCCAACCCACCTGGAGCAAAGGAGAATGAAGAACACCATGGACACAAGGAAAGTATTAACCCACGAGACAGAAAGGACCACATAACACAGGGACTTCATCAGCCTGAGACCAGAAGAACTACATGGTGCCCGGCTACCACCAATGACTGCCCTGACAGGGAACACAACAGAGAGTCCCTGACAGAGCAGGAGAAAAGTGGGATGCAGAACTCAAATTCTTGTAAAAAGACCTGACTTAATGGTTTGATTGAGAATGGCGGGACCCTGGAAGACACGGCCCCCAGACTCTCTGTTAGCCCAAAACTAAAACCGTTCCAGAGGCCAACTCTTCAGATAAAGGTTAGACTGAACTATGGGACATAAAATGACACTCGTGAAGAGTGTGCTTCTTAGCTCAAGTCGACACATGAGACTAAATGGGCAGCTCCTGTCCAGAGGCGAGATGAGAAGGCAGAGAGGGTCAGGGGCTGGTTGAATGGACACAGGAAATCCAGGGTGGAAAGGAAGAGTGTAACAATATAGGGAGAGCAACTAGGGTCACAAAACAATATATGTACAAGTGTTTGTATGAGACTAACATGAATTGTAAACTTTCACTTAAAGTGCAACAATTTAAAAACAAAGTATAAAGAAGTTTAATACACCATTATTGTTACAAGTGAAAATTGAAAACATCCTAAGTATTCGCCAATAGAGAAAAAAATTAAATGTTACCACCATACTGTGGAACATATTGTTAAGAATGTGATACATTTTTATGTATTAACATACAATGATCTCAGATATCAATAGGTGAAAAAAAATTAAAATACTAAGTATTATATGCCATATTTAAAAAAATCATTCATGCATTTAATATATATATATATATATATATATATAAAAAAATATGGAGCCCTGGTGGCACCGTGGTTAAGAGCTCAGCTGCTAACCAAAAGCTTGGCAGTTTGAATCTACCAGCTGCTCCTTGGAAAGTCTATGGGGCAGTTCTAGTCTGTTCAATAGGGTTGTTATGAGTCAGAATCACTTTGACAGCAATGGTAAATGGTAATACATAAATACGAAGAAATAGGTTTGAAAATGTACATCCCAAATTGTTTAGCTACTAACGCTGAAGATTCAATGGAATTGGAGAAGTAGGAGACAAAAGGAAGAATTCCACGTTTTTATTCTACATACTTCTGTATTTGAATTTTGACAAGAACACATTCATATTTCATTTACTGTAATTTTGAAAAGTGAAATTAAGTAGAAATTAGAGTAGTCAAAGTAATTTAAGAAAAAGCTATATTTTGAAAATCCTTAACAATTAGAAAAGCTAGATAGTAACAGTTTTTACTCAACAATAAAACTTGCCACAAAGATCCCCTGTGATTACATAAAGCAGGAGTCAGAAAACTATGGCCCATGCACCAAATCTGTTCTGTTTTAGTACAGCTCTTGTTCTCAAACTATGAGTGATTTTTACATTTTTTAAATGATTGAAAAAATTAGAATACATTTCATAACGTGAAAATTATATGAAATTAAAATTTTAATGCCATAAAAATCAATAAATGCTGTATGGGAAAACAGCCACACTCATTCATCTACATACTTGCTTTTGGCAGAGCTGAGTCACTGTAACAAAGATTACATGGTCCAAAATGCCAAATATATTTACTATCTGGAATGTAAAAGTTTGCCAGCCAATTTCAGAAAGTAACACATCATCATTATCAACCTTATGGAGAAATGTTCACAATCATATCTTAACAGTTTTGAGGAAATGACCCTCAAAATATTACTTTGCTCTTCCAGCATACTAACCAGCACAGGATATTTTTCAGAAAGACTCAATGTGCATACTGATTTATCCCTGCGTATCCAAAAAAATGATATTTATATTATTTCCAATCAAGCAGGACTTTGAGAGGAGGGCCTGGGAGGTTACCACATGCAGCAACACAAACACAGTCTAAATCAATGGAAGAAATTTTACCTTAGTAAGTACTCTGCATATACAACAGGCTCTGGCAAAATCTGCTCTATAAATTCTTCACCGTCATCTCCTTTTGATTTCAAATATTCACAAAGGACACGCCAATACAATGCAATTTCAGGAGTTAATGTTTCCAGTGGAATTAATTTCCTTTATTTAAAAGGGAGAGAAGGAAAGCAGGCATAATATTAATATCCAGTTAAAAATAAGAAACAGACCTGATTTATAACCACCATCCTTTTAAATTATAAAGTCATTGGCTAATCTACACAAAAAGGAATAAAGAAACTTAGACCCACCCCAAAAAAATAATCAAATGAGCAAACATGTAACAGGGACAGATGTTGAATTTTCCCATCAGAGAATAATGCAAAACTGAAAGTAACAAAATGGAGGGGAGGGGGCAGTGGAATGCAAGTAAAATAGTCTATGATACAGTAATGAGTTCTTATACCAGGAAAAGAAAACAAACAGGAAAAAAAAGACATTCATCAGAGTAAAGAAAATAAAAGAGGGGTATATATAAGGTATTGAAATAATCTGTGGTTATGCACGGAAAAACAAAAGGTTTAATTGCAGACGTTCATCAGTATCACATTTCCAATAATGAATCCTTTATGTACCTGGCATCATTTCTACAGGTCCCCACAAGTTCAATAAGAGGAGTCATTGAAAATAACGCATTCAGAACAGAGACTGCCACTTCAGAAGAATTCTCCACATCCAATCGATGAAGCAACGCTAAAATATCTCCTTCAGTGAAACGTAACCAGCCTTGGAGAAGATGTTTCTGCGTTGCTTGTTTCACAGCATCTGTTAAGTCATTTGAAACAGATCAACAGAGTCTCCCTCTAGCTTCCATTTCCTACATTTTGCCTATTACAATTAACTTTTATCAGATCACTGTTAACATAAAGTCCACAGTTACAATAAAAATGGGTGACGATTAAGAAGCAGAACAAAGCATACTAGAGAAAAAAAAAAAAAACTACAATGATACTGCAAAAGTTACTATGGCACTCACTTCAGAACCAAATGCCTGACCACCACCACAGCCTATAATGAAATCTTTGCATTCTTCCTCTGGTGTTAGTCCAGACTATATTGTTGTTAAAAAAAGAAAAAAAACCAGACCCATTGCTGTCGAGTCAATTCCGACTCAGAGACCCTATAGGACAGAGTAGAACTGCCCCATTCAGTTTCCAAGCAGCACCCGGTAGATTCGAACTGCCAACCATTTGGTTAGCAGCCGTAGCTCTTAACCACTACACCACCAGGGCTTCCATATTGTTGCTAGTTGCTGTCAAATCGATTCTGACTCATAGCGACACCATGTATAAAAACTATTATATCACTTGTTGCATGACTTCATCTGCTACATGATTGCTGTTTTGTGGCAGTGACTCATACAAGTACATATCACTGCCCAAGCCTTTTAAGGTCACCGACAATGCTTTCAAACTCAGTTTTCTTGCTACAGCAAAATTGAGCCATCTTAGCCTTCTCGTGGGAGTTGCAAATTTTTATCCTACCATTACTTGTCATCAATGTAAGCAAATTCTCTAGATTAACAGGAAGAGGGGGGAAAGAAAACAGTAATTATACTAACTTGACCTTTCCTAATGGCTGTTTCCGACGCACAGAACACATTTATATCAAGGAATACACAAAGGATATATAGCAGATTTTAAAGGACAGAAGGAAGAAAGAGAGGTCCTGCCCTACTGGTGACATAAATTAGCTGTATAGCATTAAACTATAGTTTCTCTATCTGTAAAATACAGGGAGATTGAAACATACGAATTCTGCTTGCAGGGCAACGGGTTTTCTTTTTATATGGCCTTTCTGCCATGGTCTTATAACTCCCACAAAATGCCTGAGTGGGACTATGCAAATAAGGTGTGTAAAACTCTTGCTAGAATTGGCTAGGACGATGCAAATAAGGTGCCTATGGCCCACCAAGGGGATTAGTCAGTATTGTCACCCTGCTAGGATTAAAAAGAGCCAATCCTACAGTTTGAGGGGGGACCTCACTACCATCAAGAAGACCCAGGAGCGGAGTGCATCCTTTGGATCCAGGGTCCCTGCACTGAGAACATCCTACACCCAGGAGACACAGAGCTATAACACTGGACAGCTGTTAACAGTGGAGGCAGAGAAGTAGAGTGTGCCATGGGGAGGACGGCTGTTGTCAGAATTTATAAAAAGGTTGCAGAGTGGAGACATGTCTGACCTCCCCTCAGAGGAATCAGCACTGGGTTTATGCTGATTATCCTCCTCCTCATAAAGTTAGAGGACCTCTGATGCCACTGTTTTATACTGTTCCTTTCAAGTGACAAGATCTTTAATTCTAGGAAATGTTTTCTATACAACACACCAAGATGGATTTCACCAGGTTTATTGAAATGATAGGTTTACTCGACCTAACTTAGGACATTTGTTTCCTAAACCATATAAGTGTGACCTAAAACTCTACTAGTGTTTTATATATAAAGATGTATATTTTACCTGATCTGTCATTAAGACCTTGTTGAAGGAGCATTACTCTCTGAGCAATGGACATAGCTCTCATATGGATCTTTTCAGCTAAAACCTTAACGAAAAAATAATAATAAAAAGATGGTCATTAAATCCAACACAATTAAGAGATTTCATAACTAGCAATATCTCCTTCACCCACTAAGAAAATTACTCACTCTCCAAAATAAATTAATATCTGCTAATGCATTTGATACAATAAGATTCTGCCTACTGTATTTTTACACAAATAAGATGCACTTTCTACATTTGTTTGCCAACCACGCCCTCCCCATATGAGGTACTTCATAAGCACTACTATGTCAATTTTTTTTACATGTTATTGTATGTAACATGTAAAAATGCAGTAAATAACCTATACTGTCAATAAAAAATACAATTGGAGCAATCCTTATTATCTGCCAAGTATTTTTCAAAAGTACTTTAAGAATATGGCTTCTTGTCTTTTAAGAATATACCTACATAACAAAGGAAGAAGAGGAGTCAGGAATGGGGGAAGAAATGGAATGTGTGGTTAGTTGCTTCCATGAACAACATTCTTCTTTGCCATAAGACCAGGAGAACTAGATGGTGCCTGGCTTCCAACATTGAACATTTTGATCAAAGATTCTATAGAAGAATCCTGATCAAAAGGGAGAAAATGCAGGACACAATATCAAATTCTCATGGAATCCAGAATTTCCGAGGTCAGGGAGGCTAGATGAATCCTTGAATCTATTGCCCCGAGATAATCCTTAAAACTTAAACCAAAAATATCCCCTGAAGTCTTCTTAAAACCAAACAATAGTTTACCTTAACTAGTCTGCCTTGAGCATTGTGCTCTTTTAAGATCTATCTATATGGGATCAAACTGACAATAGCAACTCAAAAGACTAGATAGGAAAATTAGGGAGCAGTGAGTTTTTGTTAATAGGGGAGTAACAACTCAGAAAAGGAGGGTGAGAATGCTTGCACAGCTTGAAAACGTAATCAGTGTCAGTGAACTGTACATGTAGAAATTGTTGAGTTGGTGTATGTTCTGCTGTGTATATTCTCAACAACAACAACAAAATAAATTATTAAAAAAAAAAAAGCCTACACAAGAACTTATTTACCTGATAAGCCATCTTTCTGACAGCCTCTTTCACATCCTTGGTGCGTCCTACTATTTTTGGCAAAGTCTTTGCTGATGGTGCAACACATGATAACACTGCTCGCCTAACTTCTGGATTTGAATCATTTTCAATCAAAGTAGCATATGCTAAAAATAGAGCAATACGTATTTAGTACACTAAGGAAAAAACAAGTCATAAAATAACCCACACTTTGATACTTCAAGATGTTTTTAAAATGATAAAGATATCATTTTTTAGTCTCACACATTTAATTTTAGTTGAAGATTTTTCCCCCAACTTCTATTCCAAGGATGGAATGAGAAATTTATCAACAGACTGGGCTTGAAGGATAAAACTGAAAAGAAAAGGCCCTAAAGATCTTGGAAATTCCATCGAGATTAAGTCTTTTTTATTCCTCCAGAGTTAGGAGAGTCTAGCATAGCAAGCAGTTTATTTTAAATTGATATGCTTTATAGGGGCCTATTATTTTGATTTTTAATGAGTCCTAAAAATAAACAACTTTCTGGTTTTACTCCTTGAAACAAAACCCATTAGCTGGATTTAAATGTTTATTCTACCTACACTTCTCACATTTTCCCCATCTTTATGATGAAGTACGTGTTGATTATTAAAACATTTACATTTTATACAATATTATTATGTGTGTCATAAAATATCAACTACTACCAGATATCAAGATTGATTATAAAGCTAAAGTAACAGGGATAGACAAATAGAATGATAAAACAGAAGAGGGTCTGAAATATTCTTAGGCATATATGGAAAAGTGAAATATGACTACATTTTTGATCCCACAGGTGGAGAAAGTTTTCTTACATAAGAATAAAAAGTGCAAGTCATAAAGGAAGACATTGATAATTTAGACATTAAAAATTTCTGTTCAACAAAAGACACACCAAAGAGAATAAGCTAAAGTAGGGAAAAAATATCTACAATTTATATAACCAAAAGACTTCCTTTCAGAATAAAGAACTCTAATAAAACAATAAGACAACCCAATAGAAAAATGGACAAAACACATTAACAGGCATTATACAGAAGAAATGTAAGTGGCCACTAAAGATAAAGTTTAGAAGTCTGACAATACCAAATACTGGAGAGGATTATGGATCAATAAAAACTCTTATACACTATGAATGGGAATATTAAATGATATAACTAGGTAGAACACTTCACGTTATCATATAAAGCTGAGCCCGCATATATCCCAGCAACTCCCCTCATAGACATACACCCTAGCAAAACCCTTTAACACGTGTATCAGGAGCTATCCACCATGAATCTGTCAGTTTATTGGACTGTGGTGGCTTGAGAGTTGCTGAAAGCTACACCACTGGTATTTCAAATACCAACAGAGTCACCTGAAGTGGACAGGTTTCAGTGGTGCTTCCAGACTAAGACTAGGATGAAGGACGTGGCAATCTACTTCTGAAAAAATTAGTCAGTGAAAACCTTATGAACAGCAGCAGAACACTGTCTGGTATAGTGCCGGAAAAGGAGCCCCTTAGGTTTGAAGGCAATCAAAATACGACTAGGGAAGAGTTGCCTCCTCAAAGTAGAGTCAACCTTAATGACGTGGATACAGTCAAGCTTTTGGGACCTTCATTTGCTGATGTGGCATGACTCAAAATTGAGAAGAAACAGCTACAAACATCCATTAACAATTGGAATGAGGAATGTACGAAGTATGGATTTAGGAAAACTGGAAGTCATCGAAAATGAAATGTAAACCATAAAGATCAATATCCTAGGCATCGTTGTTATCAGTTGCCGTCGAGTTGGTTCCGAATCATAGCGACCCTATGCACAACAGAATGAAACACAGACTGATCCTATGCTATCTTCATGATCCTTCTTCTTTTTCATTGACTCCCTACTTTACCAAACATGATGTCCTTCTCCAGGAACTGGTCCCTCCTGATAACATGTCCAAAGTATGTTAGATGAAGTCTTTCCATACTCCCTTCTAAGCAGGATTCTGACTGGACTTCTTCCAAGACAGATTTGTTCCTAGGCATTAGTGAGCTGAAATGGACTGGTATTGTCACTTGAATCAGACAATCGTATGATCTACTATGCCAGGAATAACAAATTGAAGAGGAACAGTGTCACATTCGTTGTCAAAAAGAACATTTAAGATTTATCTTGAAGTACAATACTGATAGGATAACATCCATGCTCCTACAAGGAAGACCAGTTAATACAAGTATTATTCAAATTTATGCACCAACCACTAAGGCCAAAGATGAGGAAATTTAAGATTTTTACCAACTTCTGCAGTCTAAAAATGATCAAATATGCAATCAAGATGCACTGATAATTACTGATGATTGGAATGCAAAAGTTGGAAACAAAGAAGGATCAGTAGTCAGAAAATATGACCTTGGTGAAAGAAATGATGCTGGAGATTGCATGATAGAATTTTGCAAGACCAATAACTCCTTCATTACAAATAATACCTTTTTTCAAAAACATAAACAGCGACTATACACAGGGACCACACAGGATGGAAAACACACGAATCAAATTGACTACATCTGTGGAAAGAGATGATGGAGAAGTTCAATATCATCCGTCAGAACAAGGCCAGAGACTGACTCCAAAACAAACCAATTACTCATACGCAAGATAAAGTTGAAGCTGAAGAAAATTAAAACAAGACCATGAGAGCCACAATACAAACTTAAGTGTATCCCACCTGAATCTGGAGACCATTTCAAGAATTGACTTGACTCACTGAATGCTAATGAACAAACACCAAAGGAGTTATGGGATGACATCAAGGACATCATACACGAAAAAAGCAAAAGGTCATTAAAAAGACAGGAAAGAAAGAAAAGACAAAAAAGATGTCAGAAGAGACTCTGAAACTTGCTGTTGAAGGTAGAGTAGCTAAAGTGAATGGAAAAAATAATGAAGTAAATGAGCTACATGGAAGATTTCAAAGGGTGGTTTGAGAAGACAAAGTATTAAAATAAAATGTGCAAAGACCTGGACTTAGAAAACCAAAAGGGAAGAACACGCTTGGCATTTCTCAAGCTGAAAGAACTGAAGAAAAAATTCAAGCCTCAACTTGAAATACTGAAGGATTTTATGGATAAAACACTGAACGACGTAGCACCAAAAGAAGATGGAAGGAATACACAGTCACTGTACCAAAAAGAATTGGTCAGTGTTCAACGTTTTCAAAAGGTAGCATACGATCAAAAGCCAATGGTATAGAAGGAAGAAATCCAAGCTGCACTGAAGGCATTGGCAAAAAAACAAGGTTCCAGGAAATGATGGAATACCAAGTAAGGTGATTCAACAAATGGATGCACTGCTGGAAGTACTCACTCATCTATGGTAAGAAATTTGGAAGACACTGACCTGGCCAACTGACTGGAAGAGATCCATCTTTATGCCCATTCCAAAGAGGGGTGGTCCGATAGAATGCAGAAATTACGGAACGATATTGTTAATATGGAAACTCTGGTGGCGTAGTAGTTAAGAGCTACATCTGCTAACCAAAAGGTTGGCAGTTTGAATCCACCAAGTGCCCCTTGGAAACTCTACGGGGCAGTTCCACTCTGTCCCATAGGGTCGCTATGGAATGGAATCAACTCGACGGCAACGGATATTTTTTTATCTTTAATATCACACTTAAGTGTAAAATTTTGCTGAAGACAATTCAAAAGCATTTGCAACGATACATCTATAGGGAACTGCCAGAAATTCAAGCCAGATTCAGAAGAAGACGTGGAACAAGGGATAACATTGCTGATGTCAGATGGAGCTTGAATGGAAAGCAGAGAATACCAGAAAGATGTTTACCTGTGTTTTATTAACTGTGCAAAGGCAATCAACTGTGTGGATCATAAAAAATTATGGGTAACATTGAGAAGAATGGGGATTCTAGAACATTAATCGTGCCCATGCCAAACCTGTACCCAGAACAAGAGGCAGTCATTCGAACAGAACAAGGCAATACTGTATGGTTTAAAATCAGGAAACGTGTGAGTCATGGTTGTATCCTTTCACTACACTTATTCAATCTGTATGCTGAACAAATAATCTGAGAAGCTGGACTATATGAAGATGTGCACAGCATCAGGACTGGAGGAAGATTCATTAATGACCTGTGATGTGCAGATGCCACAACTTTGCTTGCTGAATGTGAAGAGGCGTTGAAGTACTTACTGACGAAGATCAAAGACTACAGCCTTCAGTATGGATTACACCTCAACATAAAGAAAATAAAAATCCTCAAACTGGACCAATAAGCAACATCATCATAAATGGAGAAAATATTCACATTGTCAAGGATTTCATTTTACTTGGATCAACAGTCAATGCCCATGGAAGAAGCAGTCAAATCGACGGACGTAGTGCGCTGGGCAAATTTGCTTCAAAAGATCTATTTAAAGTGTTGAAAAGCAAAGATGTCACTTTGAGTACTAAGGTGCACCTAGCCCAAGCCATGATATTTTCAATCACCTCATATGCTGTGAAAGTTAGACAATGACTAAGGAAGACTGAAGAAGAATTGATGCCTTTCAATTATGGTGTTCACAAAGAATATTGAACATACCATGAACTGCAAGAAGAACAAACAAGTCTGTCTTGGAAAAAGTACAGCCAGAGTGCTCCCTGGAAGCAAGAATGGTGAGAATTCTTCTCATATACTTTGGGCATGTTATCAGGAGGGACCAGTCCCTGGAAAACGACATCATGCTTGGTAAGTTAGAGGGTGAGCAAAAAGAGGAAGATCCTTGACAAGATGGCTTGACATAGGGGCTGCAATAATGGGCTCCAATGTAGCAATGATTGTGAGGATGGCGCAGGACCAGGCGGTGTTTCGTTCTGTTGCCCATAGGGTCGCAATAAGTCAGAACTGACTCAACAGCACCTAACAACTAACAGCCAGAAGAATGAACAAGTATGTCTTGGAAGAAGTACAGTTAGAGTTCTCCTAGGAAATGAGGATGGGGAGACTTCATCTCAAGTATTTTGGACATGTTACCAGGAGGGACCAGTCCCTGGAGAAGGACATCATGTTTGGTAAGGTAGAGGGTCAGCAAAAAAGAGGAAGACCCTCAACAATAAGGATTGACACAGTGGTTGCCACAATGGGCTCAAACATCACAACGATTGTGAGGATGGCACAGGATTGGTCAGTGTTTTGTTCAGTTGTACATAGGGTCACTATGAACCTGAACTAGCTCACAACAACATCAGAAGCCAAGTACAAGAAAGTTTATAGCAGCAATAGTGTTTTTATGAGCAAAATAACTGGTAACAACTAGAGGGACAATCAACATTAGAAAGAATAAACTGTTACATTCATATATAACAGAGTTTTATAATAAAAAATACATGTATTAACATGCATGAATGTTAGAATAAAAAACGTTGAGAAAAAAGTCACAGAAAAATACATATACTACGATTCATATAGTATATGACAGAAAACAATATTTAAGGATACACATATATGGTAAAATTATAAAGAAAGCATGAAAATTAACCCAAAATTCAGAAGAGTAGTTGCCTCTGAGGTAGAAGGAAAGTACTGCAATTGGTACTGATGATATTTCCAAATTTTTAAGCTGGGTGGTAGCTACTTTGGTAATTGTTTTTAGTTTTTAAACTGTATAAATACATAAGTTAACTTGTTGCTCTTAGGTGCCATCAAGTTGATTTTGACTCATAGCAGCTCCATGTGACAGAGTAGAACTGCCCCATAGGGTTTTCTAGGCTGTAATCTTTACAGAAGCAGATCACTAGGTCTTTCTCCTGCAGAGGTGCTAGGTGGGTTCGAATCACCAATCTTTTGGTTAACAGCCGAGCACTGAACCATCTGCACAACCAAGGCTCCTTATGTTATTCTTCCACATACATAGTTCATGATAAAAAAAAAAATATTGAACTACTGAGAATTTAACAGAATCCAAATAAAACTGAAAAGAAAATTTAGAAATTTAGAAAGTCACACATACCATTAACCACTGGGCAGTCATCGTCTTTGGGATCCTGAAGTCGTGAAAGAGCTAGAACTGCCTGTATTCTAACATTTGGAATTTTATCTTTCAATCTAATAAGCATGGCTTCTTTAATTTTATCAAACAAATCATCATCAATCAGAGCGTTTTCCGGCATACTTCCTAAGAGCTTGTTTATTAGCTGGCACACTCTAAATCTCACTGCATTGCTGTTTGCTTCATGAGACTGAAACAGAAACAAATCAAAATTTATTCATAGTCACATACCATTCCTACATACCATATTTTTACACAAATAATGCATGTCTACATTGGTTTGCGAACCATGCGCTCCCCCCTCAAGGTATTTTCATAAGTGCACACCATGTTAATTTATTTTAACAGTAACATGTAAAAAAAATTGGCATAGCAACGCTTACGAAAATACCCCGTGGCGGGGAGGTGGGCTGAAAAACAACGGTAGAAGGCACATGTTATTTGTGTAAAAATATTATAATCGTATACCATTTGAACTTCTGTATGTTCAGATTTCAAGATACAAATGATTCATTTCTTGCAAAGAAAACATAATTCTACCAAATTAACCATAATGCTACCTTGATCCAAATGTATACTAACTATACATTCATACATGCTAAAAATAAACACAGTCTGATAAGTATTTGCTAAATTATAAGAGCATATTATTCCTCTTTGTTATGACATGAATAGTGTCCTCTAGAATGTGTGTTGTAAATCCTAACCTCTAGGACTCTGGTCTACCACATGTGTGTCAGTATTATAAGTATTATAATGAAATGTGCAAGGACCTAGAGTTAGAAAACCGAAAGAGAAAAACACATTCAGCATGTCTCAAGTTGAAAGAACAGAAGAAAATACTGAAGACTCAAGTTGAACTATTGAAGGATTGTATGGGCAAAATTATCAAACATAGAAAGCATCAAAAGAAGATGGAAGCCCCCCAGAGCATGGCCCCTGGACACTCTTTTAGCTCAGTAATGAAGTCACTCCCGAGGTTCACCCTTCAGCCAAAGATTAGACAGGCCCATAAAATAAAATGAGACTAATGAGGCACAACAGCCCAGGGACAAGGACTAGAAGGCAGGAGGGAGCAGGAAAACTGGTAATAGGGAACGCAAGGTCGAGAAGGGAGTGTTGACATGTTGTGGGGTTGTTAATCAAGTCATAAAATATGTGTAATGTTTAATGAGAAACTATTTGTTCTGTAAACCTTCATCTAAAGTACAATAAATATATATATATATATATATTTAAAAAAAGATGGAAGGAATACAGAGTCAGTGTACCACACAGAATTGGTTGACGTTCAACTACTTCAGGAAGTAGCATATGATCAAGGACCAATGGTATTGAAGGAACAGGTCCAAGCTGCACCCAAGGCATTGCCAAAAAACAAGGCTCCAGGAATTGACAGAATATCAATTGAGGTGTTTCAAGAAATCGATGCAATACTGGAAGCACTCATTCATCTATGCCAAGAAATCAGGAAGCAGCTACCTGGCCAACTGACAGGAAGAGATCCATATTTGTGCCCATTCCAAAGAAAGGTGATCGAAGAGAATGTGGAAATTATTGAATAATATCATTAACGTTACACACAAGTAAAATTTTGCTGAAGATAATTCAAAAGCTGTTGCAGCAGTACATCAACAGGAAACTGCCAGAAATTCAAGCTGGATTCAGAAGAGGAGGTGAAATGAGAGATCTCATTGCTGATGTCAGATGGATTTTGGCTGAAAGCAGAGAATACCAGAAAGATGTTTACCTTTGACTACGCAAAGACATTAGACTGTGTGGATCATAACAAATTATGGATAACTGCAAAGAATGGGAATTCCAGACACTTGACTGTGCTCATAGGAACCTGACATAGACCAAGAGGCAGTCTTTCGAACAAAACAATGGGATATTGCATCGTTTAAAATCAGGAAAGGTGTGTGTCAGGGTTGTATCCTTTCACCATACTTATTCAATCTCTACGCTGAGCAAATAATCCAAGCTGGACTACATGAAGAAGAACGTGGCATCAGGATTGGAGGAAGACTAATTAACAACCTGCTATGCAGATGACACATCCTTGCTTGCTGAAAAGTGAAGAGGACTTGAAGCACTTACTGATGAAGATCAAAGACTACAGCCCTCAGTATGGATTAGACCTCAATGTAAAAATAAAAATCCTCACAAATGGACCAATAAGCAACATTATGATAAACGGAGAAAATACTGAAGTTGTAAAGGACTTCATTTACTTGGATCAGTCAATGCCTATGGGAGCAGCAGTCAAGAAATCAAAGGACATATTGCATTGGGCAAATCTGCTGCAGAAGACCTCTTTATAGTGTAAAAGGCAAAGATGTGCCCAACACAAGCCATCGTATTTTCAATCGCTTCATATGCATGCAAAAGCTGAACACTGATAAGGAAGACTGAAGAAGAATTGATGTCTTTGAATTAAAGTGTGTGCAAAGAATATTAAATATACCACAGACTGCCAGAAGAACAAATCTGTCTTAGAAGAAGTACAGCCAGTATGGTCCTTAGAAGGTTGGATGGCAAGTCTCCATCTCACGTGCTTTGGACATATTAGGAGGGACCAGGCCCTGGAGAAGGACATCATGCTTGGTAAAGTAGAGGGTTGGCGAAAAAGAGGAAGATCCTTGACAAGATGGATTGACAAAGTGGCTGCAACAGCGGGCTCAAGCATAAGAACGACTGTGAGGATGGAGCAGGGTAGTGTTTTGTTCCGTTGTACACAGGGTCCCTATGAGTGGGACTGATTCTACAGTACCTAACAACAATATGACTGTGGTTACAATCCCGTTTGGGAATAGTTGTCTTTGTTAGGCTAATGAGGCAGGATTTAGTGCAGGATATGTTTTGAATTAATCTCCTTTGAAATACAAAAGAGATTAAACAAGCAAGGGAACAAGCAAAGATGGGGTAAGATAGATGCCAAGACACGCAGAGATCTCCAATGAACCAGGAATCAAAAGCTGAAGGGACAAGGACCTGCCTCCAGAGTCGACAGAATGAAAGCTTTCCCCTAGAGTCACACTCTGTGCTCGGACTTCCAGTCTCCTAAATTTTGAAACTAAATTTGTTTGCTTCAGCCACCCACTTCTGGTATTCCTGTTTTAGTAGTACTAGATAGCTAAGACACCCTTTGTAGGAACTGTTGTTTTCCTTCTAAAATAGAGAACCCGTTTAAAACAAATGTATGTGAAAACTGGTTTAAAGTGTCATATGCCTATATAATGTTCTCAGATCACAAAGGCTTTCACAGTGCTTTCAACATTATTATGCTTTTAAGATGCATATGTACAATTCACTCATAACATAAAGTTAGAAATAGAAATACATAAATATACTTCTGTGAAGCACTCTAACCAGAAAATTTGTCATTAGCAACTTACAAGCTGTTAGAAATCATAAGTCATCAGAAAGTTTTTTAGAAGTGTTCTAAGTTTAGAAATTGATAAACAGAAGAAAGTGGTAAACAACCTCTAGGTGACTGGCAGTGTACTCGTGTGCTATGATAAATTATAACTCGTAACTATACAGGGGATTTCTAAATTATCAACAGAAAAATTTGAAGTATGTCACATGGCATAACATATAGTTAAACCTCCCTAAACTGGTTTGTCAAATACTTGATATGATAGAAAACTCTCTAAGTTGGCTTGGCACACACATGATATGATAAAGGAATTATAGCATAAAATTATATTTCTGTAAGGTGGCCTTGAGGCACTAGATAAATCAAAAGCAATCCCCTAATCTTTGACCTTGAAGAAAAAAAGATGACATACTAGTATTTGTAAGCATGACATCACTTAGCACTTATTGTGATAGGCCAAAGTTAAAAATTCATATATACGTGTATATACATACTGGGTTTTGGTTCATGCTTTGAGAGAAGAGTAGAGGCAGAGAAGAGCGGAAGCAGGAGATCCTGCTTTAGACTCTTGATGCTCTCCAAAGAGGAGATTCTGCCTGTCGCCAGCCCTAGCTATGAAGGACCTCCACAGACTTCAAGCTGTGGTTAAGCCTTCTTCCCAAGAACCTCTGTAAAAGGTAAAAGTCTGAAGTTCTAAAGATTTGGACTGTAACTACTGACTAACATTGTAACTGTAATTGTTAATCCTGATTCTCAGGTTCTAAATGAATGCTGTGAGGTCTTACTTGAGTGCCTCACCATGACTACCTTGCAGTAAACTGAGTTGCTGCATGGCAAACCTGAGCATTTCTTTATGTTTAAGATAAAATACTAATCTCTCTACTGATTATTTAAATTTTAAGATAAAAATCCTATACAACGCAGAGTCATTGAAAATTTAATGCTGGAGTTATTTTAAGAGTCCACCTTTTACATTAATTGTATTTCTAATTATTTTCTCTAGCGATAATCATAGACGTTTTCTCAATTGCCAGATATTTCATTCTCTAAAATATACATACTCCCATCGCCTTTTATTATGGCAAAATTTTCTTTAATACCTTCCCCCAAAGTGCTAGTTTTCACAATACCTTTAACAGAAAAGTAAACAAAACATTTAAAATGCCACCATCTTCTTCACCATCATCATCTTCCATCTCTGATTGATGAAATGAAGTAACAAACTTTGCTGCAAATTCTGTTACCCTCTCCACAGCTGGTTCACGTTTATAGACCACCATAGCATATTTAAGGTAATGAATGAACTCCTCATGAAAAACTGCTTTATCATCCATCTGAAAGACAAAAGAAACCCTTTGTAAGCTGCACTAATAAAATCCTTTATTCCTAGCATTACCTTAAGACTGTTGAAAGCCCTAACCCTCACTCAGATAAACTAACATCCTTATTTAGTAAACTCTCAGTTATCCAAACCATCAAAGGGAAAATAAATTTGTATGAATTTTTCTCCAGGCTATAATTTACTTCTCCCAGGGAGCAAACAAACATGAATTTTGACAATGAAAGGATTCCTTTGTTTTTTTTTTAATATTCTTGAATTCTCAATACTTCGTTAGTACCAGTTGAGTGAAATACATAAGTCACAAAAGGACAAATACTGTATGACCTCACTTACATGAAACATCTAAAATGGACCAGAGTTTATCAGTGGTTATCAGGGACAGGAGGCGGGTGGAAAGGGGGGAATCATTGCTTAGGCGGCCCTGAGCTTATTAAGGATGCTGAAATAATTTGGAAACTGATCGTGGTAATGCTTACACAACATGAACATAATGAATGTCACGGAATTGTACATGTAAAAACTGCTGAAACGGCAAATGTTTTCTTATATACACTTTTACTACAATAAAAAAACAGTATATATACAGTTATATACACTTTTACCACAATAAAAAAACAGTACACACACCCAAAATCCCTGGGTGGTGCAAACAGTCAGGACGCTTGGCTGCTAACAAGAAGGCTGGAGGTTCAAGTCTACCCAGAGGCACCTTGGAATAAAGGACTGGCTGTTTACTTCAGAAAAATCAGTCATTGAAAACCATAGGGAGCACAGTTCTACTCTGACACACAAGGGGTCACCATGAGTTGTGATCAACACAAGCAACTGGTTACATATGTATATGTATGCGTATATTTCAAATCAGGTATCTCCAAATCAAATATAGACCTGGCTAATGCCAGTATTTCCAAACAAATGAAAAATTACCGCATTTTTATTAAACTGTTTGCCTGTGTGTTTCTGTTTTCTCTTTTGCCTGGAAGTCTTGCTTCTTAATTACACTAATATCCTTACTTAGTTATTTCAAAAAGTTAACGCTGATTTTTTTTCTTAACTATATGATATTGGATATCAGTTTATATTTTTTTGACAGGTATTTTGTCTGAGTATATCCCAATAGAAATAAACAGACAAAACTAAAAAAAACAAAAAATTCTTCTTCGTGAACAACTCAAAATCAACACCGGCGAGGAGTTACGGCAAAATGTCGCTCTAGGCAGAAGCACCACGCCGTCCCTCCACAGCAAAGATCCGAAAAACTAAGCCGAACAGAGAATACAATCCAGAAACCCTAAAACATCAAATGAAGAGATAAAGAACTCAGCCAAGCACCGAAAGGAGTGAGAAAACTGACAGAGAACGGAGAGCAAGGAGAGATTCATGCAGAGGGCCCCTACCAGCTAACGCAGCACGGATCCACCATCTTGGCCTCCTATTGGAGACCAGCAAACAGGGTAAGAGAAAGCAGCCTCACGAAGCATCCAGCGGGAGACAAAACAACCGGTAATTTGCGATATACGGATTTCCCACCCCCCACCCTTCTTCACCTCCGCTAGGCCTCCTCTGCTTCCCGCGGCCACAATCTCTTATCCGGGAAACACCAGCTGCTTGGATTCCACCCACCAAAACAGGCCGGCTGAGTGCCATTTGCTGGCTGCTGGTGTTGCTTTTTTTCCCCGCATCTTTTGATTTCTTCCTTACCTCTCACCACCTGCCCCTCCTTTTGCGCAAATACCTGGCTCCGTGCGCCATCTTTGCTTCTTCCTGAGGGGCTGCAGAGCTCCGGTAATTTGTGATATACGGTTTCCCACTCCCTACCCTTCGTCACCCACACTTGGCACCCTCTGCTTACTGCGGACAGTCTCTTGTCCGAGAAACACCGGCTGCTTAGATTTCACGACCCCACACTAGCTGGCTCTCTGAGTGCCATTTGTTGGCTGCTAGTGTTGCTTTTTTTTCTGCTTCTTTTGATTTCTTCCTTACCTCTCACCACCTACCCCTCCTTTCGCTCAAATACCTGGTTCTGTACGCCATCTTTGCTTTTTCCTGAGGGTCTGTGGAGCTCCGTTCGAGTGTGGAGCTGCTTCCCGGTCTAGGCTGCCGCGCTGGTGGGACCCCAGGGCTTTTGTTTCTTTGTCTGTTCTGAATTGTTTGTTTGTTTTCTTTTCCTTTTCTTGAGTTGGGAGCCCTTTCTGGACAGGCAGTGCTGCGTGGCAAGGAGACTTCCCCCTCGGCTTGCACAGATGTGCATAGAGATCCCTGTGGGCATTTCTTTGTTCGTTGTTTTTTTTTTTTTCCTGTTTTTTGGGGGGCCTGTCTTGTTCTTTTTTTTTCTTAAGTTGTTTTCTTTTCTTTTCCCTCTTTTTCCCTTTTTGTCTTTCTTCATTGCTCAGTTTCTCGTCTCTCTATATCTTCCTTCTCTTTCTGCTCCCTGAATACCTGGCGTTGTATACCCTCTATGCCTTCCGGCCAGGCTATACTGAAACATCTAAGAGCGACTTCGCCAGACCTCATAGCTGCATCGGTGGGATCCCTGGGAACTCTGCGGTTCTTTAACCTTTCCGATTTTTATTTATTTTTTCTTTTCTTTTCTTTTCTTCCTCTTCCCTTTTCTGTTTTTCTCCATTTCACAGTCTCTCATCTCTCCACTCCAGTGGCAAGCTCCCCTAGCATTCTTTTTTGTTTCTTTGTATGTTTTTGGCTCCTGTTCCTCTCTCCTCTCTCCCATATCCATCTT